CAGGAGCTTTTTAGAAGAGTGGGGCAAAAAAAAAAAAAGACAAGAAATTGGATGAGTGAAAAAAAGTGCAGGTTTTTTCCTGGTCAGAAAGTTACTGAGAGGTTTGGTAGCCAGCAGGCCTTTTTCAGAGAAACACCCTCTCCTAAAATGTGTAAAATTGAGCTGGCAGAGCAACATCTCTGTATTCCTATACTGTCATAAAACAGGTATTAACTTCACTGATTACAGGTGTCCTCACCTTCTCTCTTTTCTGCTTCATGGACATTCCCAGCCTCCTTCTATTCCCACACACTCTGTTGGCATCTGTGTCTGCACTGCAGAGCTATTGCTCCAGTCCCTGCAGAATTCCCCAACTGGGGGAATGCATGCTTCCATTGGACCCTGTTTGTCAGCCAGGGAGTTATATTGAAAATATTCATTAAGATACATTGTTGCAGTCCCTGCAGCAGTTTTGCACTAATTAATGCTGTGGTCATGGATAGTTCTGATAACTCCAGGAATAGAACCACCACCCCCTCGCAGATAATGGATTGTTTGACATTTTTATTAGCTTCACCCCTTGTTCTGTGGAGATGACAGCCAGTTACCTACACTGGCATGACTGGTAGGAAAGTAGGTAGGGAAAAAAAAAAAAAAAAGCACAGCTGACAGCATCTTGCAAGTCTGTGGTGCTAAATCAGCACCAGTGCCACGTGCCTTCTCGGTGAGGACGGGATGTAGAGGTAGAGTCGTGACAGCATGTTCTAAGGTGTCCCTGTGGTTCTCCCAGCTTGCTCTGTCAATGTTTCATCTCAGGTTATTAGTATTTATAAAAGCATGCCCTTAAAATAGCTTCATGGTGTTAATAGAAGCAAAAATAGCAGTTCCTGCGCTTAAGTTGTTCGTAGCGGGGTAAAATAGGGCTAAATTGGGCAAGCACAGAAATCATCATAGCACAACCCAGTTTGAGGGTGACTTTCAAATCCCCTTCATGTCTTAAAAATCACTGCCTTTAAGCTAAAATTTAGACCAGGATACATTCCTTCCTGCTTTACAGAAAACCCTTCTCCCTATAAGAGGTGTAAGATTTGGGGTGACTGCTTAAATCTACTCACAAGTCTTCCGCTCAGAAGTGGAGCAGCCACAAATTTCTGAAAACTCATTTCAGAAAAATCTTTCAGATTTGCATTTGAAATGTGTAAAATAGACAAGTGGATTGTAAAATAGATCTTGTTGTGGGTTGACCCCAGGTGCCCACCAAAGCTGCCCTGTCACTTCCCTTCTCAACTGGACAGGGAGGGGAGAGAAAATAATGAAAGACTCATGTGCTGAGAGATCACACAGCAACAGCCATCACGAGCCAAACAGACCCCTCTTGGGGAAATCAGTTTATCACCAATAAAATCAAAGTAGAATATTGAGAAAATAAAATCTAAGTCTTAAAACATCTTCTCACCACCCCTCCCTCCTTCACTCTGATCTATCTCCTCCCCTCAAGTGTCACAGGGGGACAGGAATGGGGGCTGTGGTGAGTTCATCACTTATTGTCTCTGCCACTCCCTCCTCCTCAGTGTAAGGACTGTTCACACTCCCTACTGCAGTGTGAGTCCCTCCCCTGGGAGACAGCAAGGGCACAAATCTCTCACCATGGCCAGCACCTGGGCTGCCTGTGCTCCAGCTCCTGGGACACCTCCTGCCCCTCCTTCTGCACTGACCTTGGCATCTGTGGAATGGCTTCTCTCACAGATTCTCTCTTCAACTGCAGTTTCAGGGAGAACTGAAAAAAAATGTATTCACCATCTATAGAATATGGAGAGGAGAGCATAAGAGGCATTGCATTTATTTACCTTATAATATTATTTCTTAAATAGGCACAGCCGTCTGTATGTGTCTATTCCAGGCACAGTAGATCAGTGACCTTCTGGCACCAAAACTGATGAACTGTTAGCTGTTCTCTAGACAGTGTTGATCATGCTTCACTGAGAAATCCATGTTGGTTTTTTTTTTTTTAATTCTCTATATGTCTGTAAGTAGATTCTGTGATTATTGCCAGATGAGCCACTGACAATATTTGAAGTAACATACTGCATGTTCTAAGACAAGACAAGGAAACACAGGCTATTACAACAGTGTGTCCAGATTCCAACCTCACTTGACACTGGAGTCGGTCTCAATCACATCAGTGAAGTATAAGTGAAGCTCTGGAGAAAGAAGAGAAAAATGAGTTACTTTACCATGCTTTGACATAATTAAAAGTAGTTTTAAAAATTGATAATCTGAAAAACTCTATCATCAGGTTGTTTGAGACTGATATTTTTCCAGTAGTAAACTACTAATTGTCTGGAGTGACTATACAATTTTTTTTAATAGGCTGGTTTCTTATTTGCAATACTTAAATATTTCTTACAACTGTTGTTTCAGAAAGGAAACAACACAGTAACAGAACTGGGAGCTTTTTCTATTTTGTTTCCTTTAAAATTTGCAGTAGCTTTAGACAAAAATGTTTGTCTGTTTTGCTGATTTCTTATTTGCCAATGCTAAAACAATATCCCATGTAAACTGCAGAGGCTGACGAATTAATTATTGTGGTTTAATATCAGGCAAACAAATCTTTCCATTACTAATTATTTTTTGACCTTGCATATGAGAACAGGATTAGACTGACTACAACTGACACTGATTATGTGAGACAGGATGTTATTAAATCCCTTTGGGGAGCTTTTGAAAGATCCACCACATTTAGAGAAGAGAGCTTTTCTCTGTCTTAGCTCATTGATGGAGCAATTATATGTGACTTACTACAAAAACGATGTCAAGAAAAGCACTGAACAAACAGTTAAAGTGGAATTTACACCACTCCCATCTCTGTCAAAACATCTCACAGCCTTAAAAAATTTTGTCAAGGTTACCTATAGCAAAGCCATTTGCTATATATCAGCAAAAGATATGAGATATATTGGATTAAGACTACATTGAGGAGAACTTGCAATGGATATGAAGGCAGCAGAGATTTCTCATTGCTCAAATGGCTTCTTTGCACCAGGAGCCCAAATTTAATTAATTTTGCAGGCTTGAAAAGCCTAATTTTTTCATTTAAGCTATCTCAGGATTTGCAAGTTTTGTTTTTCATTAGAACATTCCTATAGAGGGTTTCTTAGTGAAGTGCAGAGAAATATGCAGAATGTACTTACTTGAAAAACCTCTGCTCATTCTGGAAAAACCTGTGGCTAAATTTTCTGCTTTGTTTGATTGGGGTTTTTTTTTTCAATATTAAGATTGCTCAGGTGATTTTTAGGAGTAGTTTACAATTTTGTACCTAAAAGTATGTGAATACAAAATGGAGAGCTAGGTAAAGACCATTTCCATAACTGTGTTTCTAGAACTGACTGCTTTCCTAATATCCATAGCTGAGAATGAAAATGCACAGTAAAGTGCTACAGAACTGTGTGTATTAAATATCTACACACTTATTGATTATGACATTCACAGTTTGAAAACATTAAAAAAGCTGTTAAAAATGTATAATCCAAAGTAATACTGACAGTTCACTGCAGAACCAACAGTACTGAGGTGTTATATTGCAAAGATTTATTCTCACCCCCCATTTGATTTCAAAGTTGATATTGCTGTGAATTATTGTGATGACAACACTTAATACTTGGGCCCTTACATTTTTTTTGTCTTCCTTGTGTGTCTTCACATACTAAATCCAAGTCCAGTATGGAAGAAGTTAAAAGATACTTAAATGTTTTTTTCCTTAGGTACAACTCAGTGGTGTAACTAAAGTAACATGCTGGCACTTACAGCTTTTCCTCAAGGTGTCTCAAAGACCATCAGCTGGTTCCCAGTAGTCCTTGACATGAAGCCAAACCTAGGGCAGACTTTGAGCAGTGGCAAGAGCCTCAGCAGGATTACCCTGTCCCATAAACACTAAGATTCTCTGCTGCTCTCTGTAGCACTCCTGAAATATGTTGTGTATGTAAATGTGTGTTCACCTTTACATGTGTTACCCAGAAGGTCCCTACTTTGCAGTAACCACTGGTAATTGATGGTGAATACTGGAGAGTAGGATTTTCTGTATGTGTAGTGATCACTGACCACAGGGAAAGTTTAGGTAAAGATTCTGGTTCATAAATATAGGTATGCTTGCATCAGGAAAAACAGATTTTTACTGAGTTTGTTCTTCAAGGAATGTTATGTTGTATTTCTGATATTGCAAATGAATAAAGCAATACTCTATGAGGTGTTCTGCAAGGCCAAATGTAGTCCTTACTCAGAATTTACTCAGGAAAAACCACCTTTGACTTCAGTGAGGATTTGCTTGACTAAGGACAGCACAGACTGTTGTGAATCTTACCAGCATTGCCTGATGCTAATGTTGGGCAACAGTTCTCATTGCTAATTTGCCTGCCTCGTCCTTCTCCTGGGCTCAGGATCTGCTTTTGCTGTGTGTTATTCATAGATTCTATTGCTAGTTCAGATTGCTTTTCTTTGTGCTTTTCTTTCCCAGCAAACATTTTGCAGCTATTGTTCTGCTGCCGGTAGATGAGCACAGAACCTGGTATACAGGACTTGAACCTCAGCCCAGATTCAATTAACACTGTTAAACATGTTCTCACTATGGTGCTCAGAAGAAATTTTGATGACCCTCTTTCAATGAAGCATAAATTTGTTTAAGCTGATGCTTTTAGAATGCAAAAATATAAGGGCTTGATTCACAAATCTTAAGACCAAATGCTTCTGCAGTAAAATAGATGTAGTAGCACCCATTTAGAGCCATCAAAAGGTCAATTGTAAATGCTTATTGTGCCCTACAAAATTCAGCCAAGAAAGTTACTAAATGTGCGTGCTGTAGCATCACTCTGTTTTATAATTTTAGTACTGCTTTAAAGTTATCCTGAACAATAATTAGTACCAAATTATGCCATAGCCTTCTGATACGAAGCAAATCTAGCTAGGTTATCACTCGTATGTCTTATGAGCCATACCTAGCCATGGTTTATCCTCTATTCATGCTACAGGGTACGAAATTCCTGGGTGCCAACCTGCCTATGGCAACCTAGAATTCTCCAGGGCAGGCTCGCAAAATCTTCACCTACTCTCTGGGACAGGTAACTAATAAGTGATGTTTTGTGAAGTTATGCTTTCTTTCTAACTTTCTGATGTCCGTAAAAATGTTTCATTTCTTCATGTTAGTCCGTGGTCTCTCATTGTTCAGTTCCACTGTGTTTTCTGGACTAGGGAGTAACAGCAGATGTGTTTGTTAGAGTGCTCTAGATGCTTGCCTCAGCCAAGCCTGTAATAATTGTTACTAACATGCATAAAACCTGAAAGTTGCTTAAGAGGCTGCAAAATCCACAGCTGCCTACTACCAGTGAATCTCTTTTTCTGATGGAGTAGTTTGACAATGCAGGTGCATTACATTTCACTGTTGGTGCCACAGTTATCTGGGCAGTTCACCCACCTTTCTTAATTGCTGGTATGTATATATATATTTTTTCTTTCCTTTATCAGGTTTACATTGATCTTGAGTCTCCTGAGCTAAGGATATTTCAATGCTGTAGGTACAGAACATTGAAAGTCTGGGGGACTTATGACTGATTCTGGTTTACATTTCTATGCAGCATGTAGTATTAGTTTAAGTTTGCCATATTTTGCTTAAATTCTCTTCTATTTTTCTCCTGAATTCACTGTTTATTCTTTTTTCTTGACTTTATTTCAAGTGGCAGATATGTAGAAGAAATGTCATTCACTAATCCTATACCTTTCAATGACATATGAAATATTGTAATATATTTCAAAGTAAAAAAGTGATTAGGTTAAAAAAATAAAGATAAACTAGGCTTCAGATTGTTTTCTTCAGTCTATTGATTTTCTCTGAATACAAGATAAATAATGTGTGAGAAATTTCATCTTAAGAGAGCTGATAGTGTAAGAAAGACATAAGTGAGATTCTTTTTGATTTTTTTTCACATGGTCTACATTCTGTGGAGCAAAAAAAACCCCAGAAATCTTGGAAAAGTGTTTTGAATTTTTGCTTTTCATACCCCTGGGATTCTGTAGGTACACTCTACTCTTACCTGGGTTTGGAAGATCTTGATGCAAAAATAGCTTTGCTCTGCTGCTTATTCTCGCTAAAATCAAGAGATGACCATGAAGTGAAACATAATCCAGGCATATAAAACTCTTTTACAAAATGTTTAATCCTAATTCCAACTTGGTTGAATATTTGGAAGTCCTTTAAAATCAGAAGAAATTCACTGTGTAATCACTAAATTTGATCTTACGTTCTGTTTTAAAATGGATGGCCACATGGAATTTCTGAGTTGGGATGATATTTAGTCACCTTTCTGTAGGGTTCACTAAAAATACTTTTTTTTCCTACCACCATTGTCTACTTTTAGTTGTTAGCTATGAAATAAAAAAGCTTACTTTTGTAGAGGACAATGTCACAGTTTATCTCCAAGTGTGCTACAACTTAAAATGCACAAATCCAAGATTTTAGCTCAACCTATTTACCCATTTCATAAAAATATTAAAAGGAAATAGCCATTGAAAGACAATTTTCATTTTCCTATGTGCTTTCTGAAAAGCTCACAAGGACCAAAATTTTTAGAGACATTTTTGTATTTCCTGAAAGCTGGCTTGTTTCTTTCCTGTGAGTAACTCAGGTTTAATCTCACTGTTTCAACATATCTAGACTGTAAAACAATATCTGGAAACTTGCTTTCTAGTTATATTGAAAAATACCACCTTGCTGAAGGAACTAATAAAAAACCCAAACGTTTATTTGGTAAAATGAAAAATAGTGAGTATGACAAGTGTCAGCATTTACAAAATGAGGATAGGTTCTACTTTATCCAGCCTGATGCACCTTAACCTTTAAAAACTAATGAGAAAGCAGTAACAGTATCAGCAAGAAATTTCTAGTAAAAACCTACATTTTGATTAACCCAGAATGTTGAAATTGTTCAGATATAACATGTCAGGGGAAAAAAAAAAAATGGCCTGTGTTTATGTAATCCACATCCCAGGAATTTTTGGGAGAGTCTGGAGTAGTGAACCTGCTTCCTCACCCTGTACAGGTCCTTGGGGGGCTGCATCTGCAGGGGAGGTGGAGTCAAAGGGCTCCTGGGTCCCCTCTGAAGGAGCACATTGTGCATTGCTTTTCACATGAATAGTGTGAGCATCTTTTCCATGAACACTTGCTGCCTGACTTGGTCCCTCCAAATCTGAAGAGATCTTTCATTTGCTGGCTCACTCCAAAAACTGCCCAAGAGCCAGTGTCAAGGTTCAGGGCTGATAACAAGAGTTTGGAGGAATACAGTCATGTTCCCTCTCCTTTCCCATACAGCCACAAAAAACAAAAAAAAGTGACAAACCAGAGTCTTACACTGAAGAGCCAGTGCAGCCAGGGGAGCAGGATAAAATACTGAGCTAATAAATTATGACATTCAGCTAGGAGGAAAGTTGTGTGAAATGATGGCACAACATGCTGAGCCATGGGGAACTTGCTAGAGGTGAACTCATTTGTACTCTTGCAGAGTAGAAGACTTCTCAGTTAACAAGTCCCAAAATAGTGTGCTGCAGTGTATAAAACAAGGTAGGGCTTGAAATAATTAGCCACAGATGACAGATGGCAACTCCTTTCTCTTTTTTCCTTCTTTTCTTTTGCTGTAATATCAAGTTGATCAAAGAGCTGAGGATCATTTGTTATGGTAGAAAAACTAAAAATATCTTGAAATATTCAGTCAAAACAAGTTCATTCAGGTACGAGCCAGTAGCTCTCATTGTTTCTGTTCAACACCTTGTACATGAGTCTATGTGTAGTAATAGTTTCCCTCAGGATCTGAATTACATGTGCACAGCTGAGAATTTGGATGTGCCCTGGCTTAGGAGCATTATTTAGTCAATTTATTAAATCAAATTGTTAATTTATTTAATGTAATTGTTTGCTTGTGTTAACAAACCAATGATCTATTGTACTGCCAGAAAGCCCTCCAGAAAAGTGCCCAGAGCTCACCTCTCTGGCAGGTCACTTGAGCAAGGTCATACAGGGGCTCTGTGAGGGGAACCAGATGTTAGGGAGCAGAGGATGCAGTAGAACTGACTGCACCCATGACCCCTGGAGGTGTCTGAAGGGGCAGTGCTGCATCTTACTCCAGGCAGGAGCAGCATTTCCCCCATCCAGCAAGCATGGGCACTGTTTTAAAGTCAAGCACCCATGGATTCAAGTTAGAGACACAACAGGAGCTTCTGTCTTGCATGACTTCTGTCACAAAAGAGGATCAGAACAAAACTATAACAGATGTAGTTAAAAGGAGAATTCAGTAATTTGCTCAAATAATGTAATATACACTGCTCATAAAGGAAAAAAGCCATAGAATCTCCAGTCCCAGTAGTAATTCTGTCTGACTGGTTCACGAGCCAGAAGAGTATATTTGATTTTTTCAGCTGCTTAGCATAACCTTTCTTATGGAAGTGTTAAGCCAACACACCTAAATTAGTCCCTTGAGCAAGAAAAAGATGAATTTCAAATCAGAGGAAAGAGAAAAGGATTGGGAAAGGAAGGAAATAAGATGAGAACAGAGATTATAACCTCTGTCCGTTAACCTATGGATGTTTTATACCAAATAAAATAGGAACAAAATTCTATCCCTACTGCTAAAGCACATTTTTCCAGTATTCCCCTACCACACATCCAACCTCAGTCCTTTAATAGAAAGAGTAAGATCAATTTCAGATTGCTTCTGGCCAGTGGGCTTCACCCATTCTCATTACATTCCTATTACACGAAAACTGCACAATTCAGGAGGAGCCACACTTCTGTTCCAGCACAGCTTGATCCAGATGAATCGGGGAAATAAACAGACAAAAACAAAAGTGAGAAAGGTTTAATAACACAATTAAAATATAACTTTATAAGCTTGTGAGCTGATGTGGCAGGCTGCTCTCAGTAATTTCCAGAGGGAGTGCTTATCCGTGACTACAAACCAAAGCAATCTAGAAGCTGGCCACTCAGAGCTGTAAGGAGAGCTACTGCAACTGAAGGCAGCCTGCTTAATCACCTGGAGAGCTCTCTTTAGCTTTCTAATCACAAATTGAAGTCTACCTCTAATTTTGCTTCCTCAATTTTTCAATACCTTACTATTTTTTTCCCCTTTCTTATCACCTCTCGGTAGTCTGGATTCCCTAGTGAGATGCAATGCAGACGGGTAGGATTCTGACAGACATTAAAAAGCAGACAGCAACTGCTCAACAACTTCAAATAACTTTCTGTCTGAGGCAACCCCCCCCCAGTGGTCTGTGTTACATCATATTTGTTGCAGTCAGCCTTTGCTGCTGGTTTTCTTACCCTTTCGAACCCTGCAACTTTACACTGCAACTCACGATTTCTGCTACCCAAACATTTTATGCAAACTTACCAGCCTCTGGGAAGCCAGGAAATAGCAGCTCTTACAGGGGTGAACCTTCTTCCAGACTCATGGGAACTGCAGAGTCTGGATAGAAAGCAGTGAAGATCCCCTAATCCCTAGGAAGGGTCAGGGTCATTCTTATTCTGCTCTCTTGCACAAATGCTGTCTTAAGTTTGCCACAGCAGAAGTTTCCTTCCTTCTCTCACAGTTTAACCACCTGATTCATTTCAGATGTGCTCCAAGCACTAGGCAACATTTGAACAATGCAGTAAATAAGAAGCAGGGCATGAACATGAACAGAGTCCTTCATTATGGTAGGAAAATAAACATGTCCTTCCTACCTCTAGAGAATGAGCCAGAAAGCATGTATTCCTTCTAGAATCCCATGCTGGTTTTCTTCTCTTGGATCCATATTTTCCAGCTCTCCATCATTTCATTTTCTAGCAATACAGAGAAACAAATTGAACAGACACAGGCCTTATTCAGACTTTGGTAGGATCACTTACTGAGCCTAAAGGTTTGCATTTTAGCCACTGCTACTAGGAGTTTACCTGCCAGAGCTGAAAACAATTAGTTTCCACTTCAAGGAGAGCCTAACAGAGGCACCAGGAGCCAACTTGGAAGGAGGCAAAGGTCATAGTAACAACTTCTGCTGCTTCCACTCTTTCCCTCTGCTTTAGTCACCTTTGAATTTG